TTACCTGTTCTTATTGACCAATAAAAAATAGTCACATTTATCTTGAATATCCGATAAAAATAGAATTCACATGATTAGCTACCGACATTTTTTACCGAGCCGACATTTCATCCAATATCACATTTCATCTGATATCACACATTTCACAATCTTTAATGAGTAGATTACAGGAAATTGTGTCAAGTAAACGATAGAAATGAATCATAAATGATTCATCACATTTGTAGTTTTCCTTTTCCTTGTTAAAAATCAATACATGTAGTTCTAATGCGTAAATTATATTGACTATAATTCGTTTATTATTGAATACAAAATCGATTATTCTTTTATATTTCTAGAGTCGTAACTTGCCAGAATGAGTAGAAATATTGCTGTAACCTACATTCAGGATGGTGTATATTTTATTTTTTACCACGAGACCAATATAGCCAGTTACGTGTATTTACCCGATCATATGAATCTTCTGCTATTCCAGTAACCACTACCTTATGGGAAATGGTCGTTGAAGTTGGTGAGTATCGTCGAAGTAATATTACCTGACGAACTAGTCCCAAAATAACCATTTCTTGTAATGCATGCTTAACAAGTTCTTTTGTCTTTAGAATCTTTGGTTTCCAAGGTAAATTATCTGAGTCTTTGATATTATAAATACTCAGTTGATCATAGCCCCGAGCTCTTATTTTAGCATTATTTGCACGAAGAAATATATCAACAATATTGTCTGGAACTACCTCAGCACTCGAGTGAATGAGAACTGTTTCGATAATGTGTAATATTCGTTCCACTTCATTTGTCGCATTCACCTGTTGCACTTGGTCAGTTATATGTCTTTGGCAATTATCACACCAACCACACATATTACTTGAATCTTGTAAGACATCCCAAGAATGATAACGTAACAACATCTGGCGACGACATTCATATTTTTCATTGAGATAATATAAGACCTCAAACAACTTTTGTTGTGCATCCGATAATCTTTTTTCCCTATTTAGAATAGTAACCTCGTTTGTGTCTGAACTGAATTCTGGTTGACTATAGAAATGATTCAATTGTTAATTTTGACCCGAGTCAAAATAATATTATTATCAAAGTCATCTATACCTTTCTTTTTTTCCGAAAACAATTATAGAATTTGTAAGCAAGTTACGTTGCGAAAAATAAATTATAGTGGTGGTATCATTGCCATTTCGTCCCGCACGACCAGTTTCCTGAATAAGATTCGCTAAACAATTACAATGTTATAATAAGACTTTGCATTGACAGACTAAATAAAATAATTTTTAATAAAAAATATTACTTACTAATACTTTTAGGGAAGGTATAATGAATTACTAATTTGACATCAGGCATATCAATACCCATCCCAAAAGCACTAGTAGCGATCATTATCTGAATTTGATTTTTTTGCCATTGAGACATAGAGTATTTCCGAGTTTCTTTAGGCATTTCTCCATGATATATGCTAAGTGACGATGTTTCCAAGATCTTTCCTAAAGCAGTTGATACCTCTTCACATTCAAATGGAGTTGAACAATACACAATACATTTCGCCATACTAATTTTCCTGATTTCCTCAACTATATTTATGATATTTTCATCTTTGGAATCTCTTTTAGATCGCACTTCATAAGAGATTTCAAGTCGTGAAAAATCACCTGCCCGAATTATTTCCAAATTATTCTGTGAAATGTTCAAATTGGATTTGATGTCATCAAATTCCGTTTGGGAACAAGTTGCTGTAAGCATCATAATCGGCGCATTAGAGTAAAGTTTTTTTAGACATCTGAGTTGTCCCTAAGCTGGACTAGATAAGTAAACATAAAAAAGTTAGAATAGTTTGGCGGCTTTCAATCAGTTTGATCCAATTAATTTCTACTTACCGAAAATGAGCATATTCGAGAACACAGTGTACCTCGTCAATTATAATTCGCAATCCACAGGTTTGATATATGCGTGCCAAAAATGAACGAAATCCCGCATTCTTTTTATGTTTTTCTGGTGTTATAAATACTATTTTCATAAACCCTGAAGCTATTTCTTCAAAGATCTTTTCTTGTAAAATAGGAGATTGTCCCGTATATAAACCACCACAAGGTATACCGAATGCTGTTAATTTTGTCTAGTTAATGAATTAATCAGATTAGTTTCAATCTAAAAATTGCGAATAATACATAATTACTTACCACCTGATCCTCGATTAGTGCAACTAATAGAGTGAAAACTACCGTCAGACCAGCAAATAAAATTGATGGTAATGCATAACAAAGAGATTTTCCGCCGCCAGTTGGCATGATAATAAATACGTCCTTGTTAGCTAGAAATCTATCTATCGCTTGAATTTGTCCCACACGGAAATTGTTAAAGCCAAAAACTGTCTTAAGAGCCAATGATACCGCTAAATTCTGATCGATTGATTGAATTTTGTCATTATTGGTTGTGTCATTTTCCAAGATTTTGCGAACACTAATCATTGAGTAAAAATTACATAATTTGCATAATCCGTCAAAAGTAACTTTGCGAAATGCATGACATTCATGACAAGTAAGAATTGAATCAAAATCTTGAATCAATAATGCAAATGATGGAGTATATTTGTTTAATTCTATACTTTCACGAATTTTGTGCTTGTATACAATCAATTCCTAAAGTAAAAATAGTATGAGTTTTTATAATATCAAATATCATTTCAATTTAAAAACAATTTTGCTCACCTTATCAAAATCAAATCCCAAAAGTTCAACACGTTCATTTTCAAAATTAATTTTTCTTTTATCATTTCACTTTTGAATTTGTAATACGTTGTAAATTGCTTGCGTATTTCGTTGAGATTCCATTTTCATAATATTATTTATATCTATTGATGAAAGTTTACTATCACATGCCTCTCTGACAATATCTAACATATTTGTTAAACCCGAATTATTAGAAATAATAGCCAATGCGTACCGTGTAGCAAATAATTTCCAATAATCAATGCGTTTGTCCAAAAAGCACAATTTAGTTCGATTAAATACTTCATTTTGTGATGTTCGCTGAGTAGTTACCAGTTCTTGCTTATTTGGTATTCGAAAAATAGACTCCAACATCATTTTGAACTGTATAATTTCAGCTTCGCCAGTTTCTTTTAAGTTTGGTTCACTCAATTGAAGTTCTGGATTTTCTTTATACCAACAAAATTCATTCCAGCATAAATTATGATCATTTTTTAAATGTCGTATAAGATCATCTACTTGAAGTATTGCCAATTCTTTTTCACCGGGGGTCTCAGAATTAGGATTAGATTTGCGTAAACCAGAAGCATATACTGATTCATTAAAATATTGCATTATATGTCATCACGAAATTTTAAACCAGGTTGGCAATCGATTATCAACTGAGAATCGATTACCATCGATTAGAAAAAATC